CACCCCGTTCCTGTTATACTCTGTCCCAATTGGGGGGAGTGGGGGATGATCTGGGTTGCAGCTTTTCAGAAAATGTACAAGCACATCCATTGGGCCATTTCATTAAAATTCAATTAAGTTTCAGTAAAGTGGAGAAGAAGGGGAGGAAAAAAACTCTTATTATAGTCGTTTTATGAGAGCCATTACCAATAAAAGAAATCTTACTTGCATGTAACAAATGAGTTTAACTGATTATTGTGTGAAACTTGAACACATTTAGAAAGGAAGAAAAATGATAAATATATAGCAATTTCCTTCAGAGTTTAGACATTCTAGGTATTAAAAAGTGGGGAACTTATTTAAAAGACAAAATCTTTCCTCTTTCATTCATCAGCTAGGATCTACAAGCCAGCAGTGGATCAGATTTGGATCAGATGTTCTATTTAGTGATCCAAAACAAGGCATTCAGCATTTGGGAAAGGCTGGGGTGGGTGCACTCACAAAATGGCTGCCATGGGAAAGTAGTCCACTTAGAAAATGGCTGCCTTAGTGGAGCTCCATATGCCTATTGATCAGGAGACGAACATTTCATCAGAAGAATATTTTTCATCAACCCAGTAGCAGAAACATATTGGAAGTTTTAGTTTAGTGAAAAATACATATTTTTTTCCCTTTCACACCATTTTCCTCTTACTTTCTACCATCCAAGCAGGGTGACTTCATGGAGATGAGATACGCTGCAGGATGCAATGAAGGGTTGACAAGCTGTCAGCTTCTATTTAATTTTACCTATTTTTTTAAAACATGATTTTAAAAAGTCTAATTCTTTGATTAGAAGAATATTAAAAAGTCAGGAGGGGAGCCTATCAATGGGCACAAAGGGCGCACTGCCTATCTAAACGATTTCTGTCATCAAACCTTATGTTTGTACACAGTTCAGTGAATTCATGCAATGTAAACTGAAAATATTTTATTTATCAAATTTAAATATATTTAGATATTGCAAATATGCAACACAATGCATATAAAGTCTTGTAGACAGAAATTGCTGAAGAAGGAATTAGACAAGGTGTTTCTGGGCTTTTTAATAGCTAAGATGGAAACAAACATTTTGCTCCCTTAGTTATTTTCCTAAAATTGCACCTCAGTCCTAGAGGGCTTCTGCAGGACAATATGACCACAAACCAAACTATAGCCATAAATATAATTTTATTGTAGATCCCTCTGGGAGTGAAAATATCAGTTCCATTTCTAGAGAAATTAATGGATGGTTCTTGTAGATTCAATGCAATACAGTCTCATCCCAAAAGATTTCACTATGTCCCTGTGTGTGTAGTCAACCTGGCCTCCCTTTTAAGGAAGGGGAAGAATGGAGAATCTGGGAACCTTCATTAGCATCAGTATCTTAACTTCAACTGTAAAGTTTTTAACCATTTCCTTATCCCGGGAAAAACAGAACCACAGTTTAAGGCTAAAAAAAGGATCAGGGCCTTATAGTAGGGTTTCACAGACAATATGTATTGTGTAATATTGGGCTTCAGGGTTTAGTGACCCTGGTTTAGACAACCTATTTTGCTCGTAACTGTGACTGACATCTTTAGAGGCATGGTGTGGCACACCACCTTGCATCTGAAGATGCCTGCCACAGATGATATCAAAATGTCAAGAAATCTGTTATTTAAACCAGGGGTCTCCAGCTTGGCAACATGGCTGGCTGAGGAATTCTAGAAGCTGAAGTCCACAAGTCTTAAAGTTGCCAAATTTGGAGAACCCTGGTTTAAACCATGGTCACTAATCCTGAAGCCCAACACTGCCTGAAACAGAGTCTTGACTGCTTAGTCTAGTCCCATGGTGGTGAACCTATGGCATTCATGCCACAGGTGGCACGCAGAGCCCTCTCTGTGGGCACGCGCGCCATTGCCCCAGTCCTAGGCCTTCAGCTGGATTTTATAAAACCTTTTCACTTTAGGCCTCCACCGCCATGTGCAAAAAAAAAAAAAGGTTCAACCAATCAATCAATTTCAACTTCTTGCCTGAAAAAAAAAAGATCTCGTAAAGTTGGAATTGATTAATTGAACTTTTTAGTCTCACCCAGTCTGCCATTACTACGGCAGCCACACCCACCCAATTGGCCACACCCACCCAATGGGCCATGCCCACCCGGCATTCGATGATACAGAAGTGGGTTTTGGGTTGCAGTTTAGGTACTTGGTCTCTAAAAGGTTCTCCATCACTGGCCTAGTCAATTCTGTTCTTCCTCCAGCCAGAATGCTCACAAAGATGTCCACCCCTGGATTACTGGATTGGGAACAGCGATTTTGAGATTAGCACTGACCTGATTTAAACAATAAATGAAGAAAATGTCTCCTTGGCCCAACTCATCCCTTTAGAAATATTCTTGGCCTTTTCTCTTTTCATAAGTACTGTGGGCTCATTTAATCTCTCACTGTATCATTTTATAAAATATGCCATGTCTTCCTCCTTCCTCTTTTCCTTTCCTTTCCTCTCCCCACCAATCCCCAACTTCGGTTAATAAATGTGCTTGCAAGAGCCATGTGCTTTTGACATAAGCAGCAAAACAGACTTGGACTACAAGAAAAAAGTAGAACCAACAACCAGTAGATGTCTTGAGATCAGACTGAGAAAATGTCAAGTATAAAAGACTGAATATAGCTACTGCTTCTGCTCTGTATGTCTGTTCTTCAGAATACACATCAAGTCTGTTTAGGGCAAGTTTTGTTTTCATCATATCTAGGGATATGCATACTGTATTCTCAAATGGAAAGAAAAGACTGACGAGCAAAGCCCAAGCCTTGTAAATCAAATTGGCTGAATATGATGTATTTTTACTTTAAAAGATCTAATTTTGAGAGAGTTAGGTGTGTACCTTTGAGATATGTCAAAGAGATTGAAGCTTAATACTTGGCAGAACTTCAAAATGCTAAGCAAGATCAAACCTGACTTCTATTGGGATGGAAGGCTATCAACAAATCTCAGAGTTGTAAACCAGACTGGAAGGTTTAAGAAGAAAAATTCTAAGAAGGCACTGTCTTATGGAGATTCTCAGTCAACCAGGTCATGGTTGTCCCAAAGGTGCTTTTTCAAAAGGCAACAGGCATGGCATTTGTTTTTCCTTGAAGACATTTCATTTCTCATCCAAGAAGCTTCTTCAGTTCTAACTGAATAATGGAGGATGGAAGGATTTATTTTCCTTGCAGTCATCTGGTCGTTAACACTCTTTCTGAGAGTTGTTGAGGCCACTTAGATGTTTATCTGTGCCCTCAGGGTCACCTGAACAGTGCAAAAGGGTGTGGAGCCTCCTTGGAATGGCTGGAAGGACTGTGTTGTAAACAGGAGATAGGGGGTGTCATTGCCTGAGAAGAAATATCTTCCATGGCTGCCAATAAAATGACCCAGGTGTTTCCATAAGGGCATCAGAAATCATCTTAAACAGATCACTGCTCAACCTTTAACTCTATTTAAGCTGTTGCTGGTTTCCTACTGATATAAGACAATCCCTATAATGTTTGACAGAGCAGGCATGTAGGATAGGCTGAAGCACAGGTGTGCTGATAAATGTTTAACAGCTTTGCCCTCTCTGTGTCCGCTGTAGTGCTAGCTGCTAAACAACTCATCATGTACTTTGTGTTTGCAGTTCAACTCTGCTTTTGACTGCTCAAAAATTTCCCAAAATTTAACAATCAACTCATACCAGCTGACTCCAGCACACCATGGGGCTGCAGACTCCAGTGGCTTCGAAAACATAATTTGCCTTCCTCAGAAAAACAAGGAGAACATCTACAGTTGCAGAGACCAGAGCAAAAGAAATATAGCAGCTACCTACCAAATAGGAAGTAGCTTCGACTGTTACCTTACTCACAATTGAGCGTTTTTCATTCAAGCTTTTCCAAGCATTAAAGCAGGAGTGTCAACTGGCAGCCCATGGGCTGGGTGCGTCACATGCAGGCCATGCCCATCCCGGCTCCGCAAAGGCAAAAAATGTCATGATACATCAGGATACATCACGTGACGCGATCGAGTTTGACACCCATGCATTAAAGTCAAGTGACTGGAAACTCTCTTCTAGAGTAGCAAGAAGCTACAAAGAGTTGCCTTAGAGGGGAGATAGGTGGTGTAAGCCTTTAATCAATAAATAGATAAGAATATAACAGGAATGAGAAAACTAAGTATTAGTACTGTTTTATAAAGCCCTAATAAGACCATACCTCAAATACTGCAGCCAGTTTTGGTCACCATATTACAAAAAAGATGTTGAGAGTTTGGAGAAAATTCAGAGAAGAGCAACTAAGATGACCAAAGGCCTAGAGACCAAAATGGAACTTGGGTCTGACTAGTCTAAAGAAAAGAAGAAATAGGGGAGACATGATCACAGTATTCCAGTATCTGAGGGGCTGCCACAAGGCAGAGGGGGTCAGGTTGTTCACCAGAGCACCAGAGGGAAGGACAAGAAACAATGGTTGGAAACTGATCAAAGAGAGAAGCAACCTGGAATTCAGGAGAAACGTCCTGACAGTGAGGACAATCAACCAGTGGAACAGCTTGCCTCCAGAAATCGTGGGCGCTCCATCACTGGAAATTTTTAAGAAGAAACTGGACAATCACCTGTCTGAGATGGTATAGGTTTTCCTGCTTGAGCAGGAGGCTGGACTAGAAGACCTCCAAGGTCCCTTCCAGCTCTATTCTATTCTAAAACCAGGTGAGGCATAAATCCTTATCTATTCCAAGTAAGAACACACTTGGCATACTGCATCTAGTTCTGATCACCATAACATAAAAAATAAGACTTTGAGACTCTGGAAAGAGTGCAGAGAAGAGCAACATTGATGATTAAGGGGGTGGGGGCTAAAACATATGATGAATGTGGATATATCCTAGACATATCCAGTTTGATTGTAGGACTCCAGCAAGCTAAAGATATTGTTCAAATAAATAAATATTGACTATTTTATAAGTATTCTGTCTGGTTTATCTCCCCCTGCTCTAAAAATTGAGCTTCATACCTTCATCGCTGTTGTCATCTACAAGGATGATCTCTTTCAAGAGGTGAGCCGGAGTGTGATTTACAGCACTGTGAACTGAACGCAGGATGACTGAAAGTGCCTCATTGACAAAGATAAAGATAATAGAAATCTGTGGGAGATCCTTTGCATATTTAAGCTCTTTACACCTGGGGAGACAGAGAGAGGAAGAAATATTAGCTGAAAACTTAAAAATGTATGAAAACAAAGAAGTATAACCCATGGTAACCATACTGTATCTGCCCCACGTAAGGAAGAAGAGGAGAAGAAAAAGGAGAAGGAGAAAGAGGGAAGAAGAGAGGAAGAGGAGGAGGGGAAGGAGAAAAGGAGGAGTGGAGGAGGAGGAGAGGGAGGGAGGGATAGGAGAAGGGGGAGGGGAGGGGAAAGGAGAGATTGAATTGGAACACAAGTAATCCTTGATTTAAAGCAGAGGTCTTCAAACTTGGCCCTTTTATGACTTGTGGACTTCAACTCCCAGAATTCCTCAGCCAGGTCGTAAAATGGGCAAAGTGCACTTAACAAGTGTCTTGCTTAGCAACAGAAATTTTGGGCTCAATTGTGGTCATAAATCAAGGACTATCTGTACTCCAATTCAATCAATAACATGTTATATATGGATCTTTAGGTATCCCAGACCCTTAGGAAGAATGCAGTTATCAAAGTGTCAAATTCAGTCAGAACTATCTGATAGATAATGTGCAAATAACAAAAGTATTAATAATCCCAGGCCTGAAATATACTGTACATCTTTAGATTTAGAAATATTAAGTGACTACCAAAAAAGTATTATAAAATTGCTCACTATGGTTGTGTTTTTACTAAAAGTTTCCTAAACCAATGTACCTAACAGTGGAGAGGGAACTTCAAATCAACATCCTCCCATCCTCCCTATAATATTTGTTATTAGCTTATAATATAAAATACAAAAATACAAAAGCAAATAGTAGGGAACAAAGAGAAGGGGAAGGGAAAAAGAGAAATCTGGAATAGAGGGGGGAAAGAAAAAAAAAATCTAATTTTATATATATTGATAGCAGCAAGACTACTCTACACACCAAAATGGACGGATGTTTTGATTCCCACCATGGACGAATGGCTTCAAAAGTTGATGGAGTTAGCAGAGATGGCTAAATTGATTGTTCTGATAAAAGAAAATAATATAAGTACTTGTTTCTACTTGGAAACTGTTTCTGGATTTTGTGCTTGAGGTGGGAAAAAATAATAATTTAATTTTGGGTTTTACTGATCAGACTGATTTGTTGTTACATAAAAAAGATTTGTTCTTCAAAGAACACAGTCCAGTATACAGCTGCGGAAGTCAAAATAATTTCTATGTTTGGGATAATCCGGTACAAAAGGGAAGATAGAACTATCACTATAATTATGCTGTTACACACGTATCGGTAATGAGACCACACTACCATTCTGGCCAATGTACCTTCAGAAAGATATTTTAGAGGGGAAAAGAGCCAGTTTGGTCTAGTGCAGCGGTTCTCAACCTGTAGGTCATGACCCCTTTGGGGGTCGAACGACCCTTTCACAGGGGTCACCTAAGACCATTGGAAAACACATATTTCCGATGGTCTTAGGAACTGAGACACCACTCCTCTATCTGTCTCCACACGGCTTCGAGCTGGGGGCCGTTGCAGCACCAGATTCGTTTCTGTTGAACATCTCCTAAGGGAGGCTGCACTGCTTCGCGGCCCTTTCCACGGAGAAGGCTGAACTAAGCTCTGCTGGCGCTGTCACCCTCTTGGCGCTCTCTCTCTCTCTCTCTCTCTCTCTCTCTCTCTCTCTCTCTCTCTCTCTCTCTCCCTCTCCCCACCTGGGTGTTTCTCCAACCAGGCTGGGCAGAGCTGGCGGAGCGGCCCTCCTGCCCCCCCTCCCCAGCCAGCTGGAGCCGGGCAGGCTGGCGACCTTTGGAAGTGAGGCAAGGACAGGCGAGGCATGCTGAGCCCCGGGGGCAGCAGGTGAGTGGGCGGCGATGGTGCGTGCTTGTAGAGCCCTTAGGGTTGGGGGTCACCACAACATGAGGAACTGTATTAAAGGGTTGAGGCATTAGGAAGGTTGAGAATCACTGGTCCAGTGGTTAAGGCACCAGGCTAGATACTAGGAAGCTCTGAGTTCTAGTCCCACCTTAGGCATAAAAACTGGCTGGGTAATTGGGCCAATCACAGGAGACTGTGAGTTCTAATCCCGCCTTAGGCATGGAAGCTGGCTGATGACTTTTGGCCAAACATCCTTTCTTAGCCAACCCAACTTGTGGGGAACAATAGGATGATATTTACTGCAGAATTCAATGTTCTACAGAAAGGCCTCAACCCATCTCGATAAATTTTATTTATCATGCAAATAAAATGAAGATGAGTAGATTTCAACTCCCAGAATTCTCAGCAATAGCTATGCTGGCTGTGGAGTTCTGGGAACTGAAGTCCACATGCCAGGAAATTTGCATATTGGAATGGGAAACCCTTCCTTAAATAATGACTCCTGAGAAGTGACCCATGCAGTTCAGGCTTGTGAGCTTCCAAGTAGAATCTGTTCACTACTGTAAACCTCAAATGCTGAAGCAGATTGACTGAGAGCCAATTTAGAAAGTTTTTTTTTTTCCCTGTATTCTTAGGATTTAAAGCACATACATGGGCTGTGCTCAGTTTTGGTTCAAAGTAAACAGAGTAGGCTATCAACTGGACTTGTCATTTCTTATATTAGTTCTCTTGGATCAGATCATAGTGGCCAAACCAATGCCTTCTGAAAACTCATTGCAAAACCTCTCAAGGCAGTGAGTTCCTAATAAGACAGTTAAACAAATAGTCTCGGGGAGGGGGGCGTGCCTAAGTCCACTGGCAGGCCTATCATCCCTGTCACATTTGGATTTTCTTATTTTCTTGGTTGTTCGAATTTGTCATTTTTTTTGACAAATAAAAATAAATCAGTCAATAAATAAATAAAATGGGAGGATGTTTGCCCTCTTTGATTGTTTCTCCCAAACAATTAGTACTTAATAATAATAATAAAGTTGGAAAAGACCTTGGAGGTCATCTAATCCAACCCCCTGCTCAGGCAGGAAACCCTATACCATTTCAGACAAATGGCTGTCCAGTCTCTTCTTAAAAACTTCCAGTGTTGGGGCATTCACAGCTTCTGGAGGCAGGTTGTTCCACTGGTTAATTGTTCTGTCAGGAAATTTCTCCTTAGTTCTAGGTTGCTTCTCTCCTTGATCAGTTTTCATCCATTGCTTCTTATCCTGCCTTCAGGCACCTTGGAGAATAGCTTGACTCCCTCTTCTTTGTGGCAGCCCCTGAGATATTGGAATACTGCTATCATGTCCCCCCTCGTCCTTCTCTTCATTAAACTAGACATACCCAATTCCAGCAACCGTTCCTTATATGTTTTAGCCTCCAGTCCCCTGATCATCTTTGTTGCTCTTCTCTGTACTCTTTCTAGAGTCTCGACATCTTTTTTACATCGTGGTGACCAAAACTCGACATGTTGACGTATGTTACTTTTATAGGCCGTTCTCGGCTTACAAGAGTTCATTTAGTGATCATTCAAAGTTACAATGGTAGGGAAAAAAGTGACTTATGATCTTTTTTTTTTTACACTTATGACCGTTGTGACATCCCCGTGTTCACGTGATCAAAATTCAGATGCTTATTTATGACGGTGGCAGTGTCCTGGGGGTCATGTGAGATCACCCTTTACAACCTTCTGACAAAGTCAATGGGAAAGCCAGATTCACTTAACAACCGGGTTACTAACTTAATCAATGCAGGGATTTACTTAGCAACCATGGCCCCCAAAAAATCATGAAATGAGGTAAAACTCCCTTAACAAATGTCTCGCTTAGCAACAGAAATTTTGAGCTAATTGTGGTCATAAGTCGAGGACCTATTATTCGTAAGCAATAAACAGCCATCAAGCAGTTCTGAGATCCTGTCTGGTCCCTTTTCAAAAGCAGTTCAATTGCGACCATCAGTGCCTTCTTTTTTAAAATGGCGATAGCAAAAATCCCATTGTTTACCCCTGGACTGAATTCCCTGAAGTCTATTCTATTTCCATAATAATCTCCATCGGGGAAAATAAACCCCACTCTGAATGGAATTCTAGAAAGCATTTTCCTTTTAAGATATGCACTTTTAAAATGCATTTCGCTGCTCTATTTCAACCAAGAGTGGCATCAAAATATTCAAGTTTGGAAAGCTCAATGGAGAACTAAGTTTCCTTCTGCACATTAATCCATAAAGAACAGATCAGGACAATTCACACTGGAATTTGCATTAGATGTTATTCTTCAAGCATCCTTCTTTTGCACTTTAATGGCAAGAAACAAAGAAAGCTATCCAGCCAAATGATATTTTATTTATTTTTATGAACTGCAAGCCAAGGTGAGCTTGTTAGATTGCAATCACCAGAGGTTCTTAGATCCAAATGCAGATAAAGTTATGTCTACTCCATCATCCCTGTCTCCTTAGAGGAATCAGGAATAGAAATAAGCAGAGACAAGGAATTTATCTATACAGACATTCTAAAGCAGGGGTGAGTAATCCACTATTTCTAGACCATTTATGGTGTCCAACGGACTTCACACTGGGAATAAATTTAGAATGGCCTTGTCTAGGTAACTGGGAAGATGACCTTGGAAAACCTATTTAGAAACCAGGTCAAGAATAAAAACAAAATGTGCAGAACCATGTTCTGAGCTGAGGGAGAAGGGAAAATAACAGTACTAGCTCTTCCCTGATTCCCTGGGATATGAGAGGGAGGGATGGAAAAACACAGTCAGGCTTGCAAGCTTCTGTTATTATAGACAATCTCAATGAAATACAGTTCTCATTTTCTTGAGAAGGCTGTTTGCTGATCTGGAAAAACTTGAGAGGCTGACATCAGGAGTGAAAGATTGGTTTAAGCTTGCAGAGACATTGTACTCATTAAACACATGCATGCACACACACACACACACACACAGAGAGAGAGAGAGAGAGAGAGAGAGAGAGAGAGAGAGAGAGAGAGAGAGAGAGAGAGAGAGAGAGAGAGAAGAGACCAAATAGCAATAGCACTTGGACTTATATACTGTCTCATAATGCTTTACAGCCCTCTCTAAGCGGTTTATAGAGTCAGCCTATTGCCCCCAACAATCTGGGTCCTA